AAAAGAGAAAAGAGCGAGCGAGAGAGAGAGAGAGAGAAAATGAACGAATGAGAACGCGTTAGCGTGAAAGGAAAGAAAGAGTGAAGAATTTTTTGCAGTAGCGTGCCCTCGATATACACGTGAAACGCGAGGATTGAAAGCCGGTACTTGTTCGGCGGTATCCATTTCCGCGCGACAGAGCGTCGAGAGATGTAACTATACCGGTTTAAAGTCCCTGATTAAACGCTAATCTCGACGGATTGCGTGTACAGTAAATAACGACGTAAGTGTAAGATAAAAAATTGCCGTGGCAATTCGTATCCGTCCCCCGCGCCGAAGGCGGGCGGGGAACTCGAAAGCGCTTACCCGGCTGTATTCGACGGCACGGTATTGCGAGAACTCCTTAATGCGAGTGAGTGAGCCTGAGAACTTTATTGCAACGCAAAGTGGTCAATCTATTTCGATATGACAGTGTGCCAATAATTCTTCATCCCAGTGTAGCTAAACGTACATCGCGTTTTCTTGATTCGTTTCACCGTAACGAGGTCCCGGGGATCCGTTCGTGACCGCGTAATCGACATTTTCATTCGACACGCGCATGATATTACCGTAAGAGTGTAAGTACAAAAATATTACGACCTATTTACTTTCGATTTTTCACGTCCCTCGCACGGTAGAGTCGACAGACATCACCCGTATCTCCATCATTCCCCTTAGCTTATCCGGATACGCGGTTATTTGCTTTCTTTTAACACGGCGAAATCTCTATCTTATTTGTCTTATGCACGAGTGAGGATAAAGCACGATTTGCAACGATGTAAATACGTAAAGCTGTATCAGAAGTCCCCTGTTTAACAGAGATTTCTGACGAATAAGCTTGAAGCGTGAGAATGGATAGCAAATTCTGAAACAATCTTCCACCTAATTTTAAACGGACTCTAACGAAAAAATTTTAAGCCGAATAGCAATTACGTGTTTAAAACGCATATTTGTGATAGACAACGACGTGCAATTCAACGTTTTCTGTGCAAAAAGAAGAAATCAATTTCAACTCTTTGTGACGAAGGAATTATCATCGGGAGGATGTGCGCAATTTCTGATACACCCTCGTACATTTACGCGGAGCGTACTTCTTTTCAATCGTGTAAAAAGCCAAAGAGATTTTATTTTACGTTACATTACATGTGTATTATTTCAGTTACGTCCTGTACGTGGTCGCATGATTTGTGTGCACGTTCACCGAGTGCTTTAATTACTTTTATTATTAATTATTCTTTTACACACGCATATTATACTTCCGCATATGAGACTGGTGTAACTCGACGTATTAACGTTCCCATAAAACTTTTCTACAATTCTTCGGTCCCTTCGAGCCTTAGTTCTCAAAGCGGGATATTTTTGCCTTATCTGACGGAATCGTGTCTTCTCCTTGATAAAGATGTAAGATAAAGATAAACAATGGGTCAATTATCCATAATTGTCGATTATGGTCAATCAAAGCGCTTAAAACATTCTGTTATTAAGTATGTTTGAAAATAAGGCTAACTATGATCAATTAATTCATATATGAGATTATTAAAATTTATAATTAAAGTAAATATGGCACCCCTTTCTTCGTACATTTGTCACGGAGCATCGAGTCCTTTTAGTTGCACCAATCACACATTTTGGAAATATAATATCTAGGAATGTGTTTTAAAAAACGCAATTTTTACTATGCAATACAATTTTATAGCTTAAAAAAACATATATACACATATATATACGATCTATTTTATCATGATGTACATTTTATCTCTTATTGGTGATCGCATTTCCGTGCAAGATAATTATGTAGTAATGATTATATTATTAATTTTATTATTTTGTTATTTGTAGCCCATCTACGTACTTATCGTTAAGCGAATGTAGTGCCGTTTATTTTATGTTTCCGTAGAATGTAATATGTACATATATATCGCCGATGTTATTATATTTTATTAAATATCTGCCATAACATAGTCCCCCGTTAGTCTGACGTTTCCCTTCGTTCTCGTATCATGTTTTTTCTTGACTCATACCTCGGATATTGCGGCACGCTATTTTTTTTATGCCCCCTTATCCAGTGCGCAATTATCGATGCGTCGATATATTGGAAATTACATTGTATCTCGCTGCCGCGTAACGTTGTATATGTTTCTCATTTTGTGCAAGGCCGAGATGAAACAAGGTAATCTTTGTGCGACCAACGTTGCATCGTTGCAAAGAAAACGCTAGGAGCTACCCCCGAGTCAGCCGTCTTTCTTAAAAGAGCACATTAATATATGCATCGGTGCACCCATTCTATTTAGTATCGGCGCGTAGGGTCAAGCAGAGTAATTGTGACGCTAAGATAATAGTGACGTGGCAACAATAAGAGCAATAATAATTACAAAGTCATTGGGTAACGATGGCACTTCATTCGGGCGTAAGAAAATTCTTGGAGACGCGACAATTCGTCATTTGTCTCTCTCTATTCTCGGAAATTGTTGCGATATTACGTTTAACTTAGTATCGCAGTTGACCGAAAATCCCTCTCGCAAGATCGATGAAAAAGAGAGAGGATTACGAGACACTCCGCAAGAATATTCAACCTTTTTTTCTCTCGCGTCCACGAAAATTTCGTTCGATCTCCAAACGATGTAGAGTGGGTCGAATTAATCGGGATTAAATATGCTGCAAAAACTAAAAGAGAGATTTGCTACGCTGATCGCTTTATTCTTGAGTGGCGCGCGTTAAAGTGTTTTTTTTCCTTTTCCAAAGTGTTTTGGCTTAGCGCGAGCAGTGAAAGACGATGAATTTGCACTTTCCATGTATGTGCCTCGGAAAGCAAGACTTTCGTTGCTGTACTCGCCCAAATATAGTCTTCTATATCTCACGTGTAATCGCGTACGATTCCTTTGTATACTTTGTATACTATCGATGATTTTTTTTTTTCAGGGAAGGCTTAACGAGACGGTGGATCGGTGTGTGAATAATGTAAAACATTTCCTCCGGGGGG